GAGCAGCTGTTTGTGGTATCTTAACTGCAATATCAAGTAAAGGTCGACATGATCATGGTATGTAAACTATATATTTCAAATAAGCATGTCTATGGAGAGATTTATATACGATTATTACATAGGAAATCCATGTACATACTAGTAACAGTAACCAAAAAAGAATGAGAATATTTTTACCTTGTCTTCTAAATACGAAATGGCCTTCTCAAGAACACTTTCCTCAAGTTCAAGTCGTCCTGTGAACAGAATCGAAACAAGATAGTTTTATATAAGGTGTCTGTTCAGATCATATTTTTATACTTAAAAGATTAAATGATATGACAACAAGGTTTGTCATTATATTATGGCCGTTTTGATGCCAATGGGAATCATTTTAAATAATTAATTTTAAGTTTTATTACATGTTAGATTAGTTGTACACAAACAAACCTCATCATATCTTTTATACTTAAATCCATCTTTCATTACATAAAATGTATGAAATRTTGCTTCTTTCATTACCTTTAGCTTGCCTGGATTTATTTAGGTTTGTCAGCCATTCTGCATCTATTCTATTTAGGTCATAATTGCAAGGTGCCTTTCCCTTCCGTTTCTCTTCTGAGTTTAATAATTTTCCAGATCTGGTAATAAAACAATACCATAATAAATTAGAGGCTCATTAACAGTTAAATTACAATAATTAGATCTTATAAATAAAAACACCATAAGCCTTGTTTAAATTTTTCATAATTTTCTTATTTTCCATTSTCAAATTCATTGAACTCATGTAAGTTAAATGGAAAATCATTGCTACATGACCATACAGAATAGAATTGAAGACAAAGCTTTGTGGAGACAAAAATATTATCTATAGCTTTACCCAGAACCTCATCTCCAATTCCAAAATATCAATAAAAACAGCCACATAAAAATATATTATTTCACTTACAGTTTAAAATTAGTAGTCTTTTTTGGAGCATCGACCACCCTAAGATATTACAAAATCACAATTAATCAAATTAAAATTGAAACACRAGAAGAAATTGTCTGTTTTGTAAGTTCTCAATTAATGCTGTGTTATCAAAACATGTCAAACCAGTAAATTTTTACACTAATGCATGCGCATGCATTTCTATWAAGTATCAAATTGCACTTACGTAAAGGATGGTTGTGAGAGCCACTCAGGATGTACAGGAACCTAAAATAGAGAGAATTAATAACACCTTGAAGCTATAAACAATCTATAACGCATCATTTGAAATGTTTTTAAAAACATCTTTAGTGCTCGTAATATCTCAAGGTAATAGTACAATACTTTACTTGAAACTGACAGTTTATMAATTTAATAAACATTACATGGTAAACATACTAGACCTCCAACTATGTAATGTCATTTTATGATAACATTGATTTAGACCAACTGGTAGAATTAATGCAAAAAGTCACAGTGCCTTTATTGAATCATATAATCAAGGAAATACAGGTGAGAGAAATACCCTGGAGTAGAGTTAAAACTACGGAGATTACTTACACAAAATTGTTGAAAATGTAAACACAGTTTTTCTGTTCAGTGTGTATTTTTTTATTCAATCTCATATTTTGTTGTTCTTCTTGTATATCTTGTTTTTCTAATTCACCATTGATAAAATTTTACCATTTTCCCTTCATTTTCATATTACTATATTTCAAACATTTTTTGTTTGTCATACTGTAATAATACTATTATAATATTCTTTCATCAATCTGTTATAAATACAGTTCCTTGTGTCACACAATAGGACTGTTTTCTTCCCAAATCTTACATAATACATTGCCTAAGGGAAAATCACTTATTTCACATAGTCTTTTCTCAATAATATAGTCATCCTATGGGGTATTAGGATTGCTTAGAATGTGTTTACTGCACAATAAATGGCCAGACTCACCTGGACACCTCTTTCCCATTCTTGTCGCCAAGGATCTACAATWGTCATGTAGTTCTCTGGATTAAGCATCTGTGTGTCCGGCAGCTTCATAGCACTTATTAAATCAGTACGAAATATCTAAGAAAAATCACAAAAATTAAATCAATCCTTTAATCAATTCCCTTTGTTGTTAAATTTATTTAACGTTTTTATCAGTACAAATTTCTACTAATTTCTATTGCCCTAGTAAGGATACAATGAATTATTATGAATTCAAAATCCTGTTTCAAAATCTTTTAGCTTTACCCAGAACCTCATCAAAAAGTCTGACCTCTAACATGGTGCATCATGGGTACTTTTATGTGATTCTTTCTCATTTCTTGTTAAAACATATTGCAGATCATTTGAATACTTTGAAATTATGTTTATTCAAGGTTATTCAAGCATAGTGTTTTTTTTGTGACAAATTACAAGTGTTTTTATTTGAAATATTGAAAACCCTATATATTACTTTATAAAATTTTAGATTTATAAAATCCACTGTGATTGGCTGACAACGGTGTTTATATCTAAGGACAGCTAGACACGAGTGCCGTTTTATCTTTCTTAAATATTATATATAAAAGGGAAATCTCAAGCTTCCTATGTCATTCTCTTATTTAATTCCATTGATAAATCTCAATGCAACAGAAAATAATTTACATCAAAGTAACCTTTTACATCTAAAAGCCAAATAAAAGAATTAAAAGACATGAATTCAAAGAATAAGAAACACATAAGAAAATCATAAATTTTATAAACAATGAAGTGATTCACTAAAACACCCTGGATATGAAAAACATTTAGGCAAGAAATCATATGTGATAGTTTTGTCTGCTATAAATTATAGTTGCCTCTCTATTCTCTTTTTTATACATTGATACAAAAGATTACAAAATGTGTCACTGACTATTCAGAATCCTAACCCTAGCAGGGTACAAAGTAAATAATAATTATCGTCCTTCCATTTTATACAACATTACAACTAAAAAATAGTCTGGTAATGCCATTTTGCTAAGTCAAACTAGATAGATAGGTTTTAAGCTGGTGTAGACTTCAAATCAAATGAGTTATGATGTATAGAACTAAGAAATCATCAACAAATTATTATTATTATTTCTATATCTTTGTATATCTACATTTACTGTAAATTTGGCTCAAAACATGGTTGATAAAAAAAACAATTTAATGAATTAAAAATCTACAGAGTTGAATGAATTGATGTTTCATGAATAAACAGCACAAATGAGTCATGTACTACAATAATCAATTGGGATATTCTGTGCTTTCAGCTGCTGCGCTATCAGTTATTATTTCMAATAATCATCCTTGGTATTATAACATTATTTTTTTCTAAAATCTATATTGTTACTGACTAGCAATTCAGTCAAAAAAAAATGCCTATATAAGTTATCAGTTTTCTTTTGAAATCCTTAGTTAAAATAGTGAATATTAAGGAACAGAAGTGCACTTTCATATTGTGATATAAAAGAAAAGCCATTTGAACTAGGATATATACTAGCCCTATAATAAAACAGCAATAGACATCCTTGCATTCTGAGCATTTCTTTCCTTTAGTACTCTCTCATAATCCTATTACAAAATAATACTTTATCTTACACTACCAGCAATGATACAAAACCATTTTACCTAAATAAAAATCATATTAACTATGAATTTACCATGATATCTTGCTTTCCACGGAGCAAAAGAAAGTATACATTTCAACCTCATGACAAGACAGTGATCTGTCTCAGTCTTGAACAGACATGCAAATGACTTTGATCTTTGACAAAGTCTGCACCTGGAATTTCCTGAATGCTGAGCTTATCAATGTCCAAATACAAGGCACAATGCAATCATTTTGAGATTTCCTAATATCTGTACATCATAAAATAACCATTAACAGCTATTTTTTTCACAATGATGACATTTTTCTCATCTTWTTTCTCTTTTCTGAAATAAAACTCCCCTTATCACCTGTCAAATTGTAACATATGCTGGACAGTGAATATTTTTCCTTTTTCAAATTTCTAGGTAAAATGCTATTGCATATACAGTACTCACAAAACTAAACACCTATTATAAAAGTGGTTCAAAATGTTATGGTAAAATGTTTAGCAAAAAGTAATAATTCTCAAAAAATTATTATATTATATTATATATTATTATAATTATTTCCCTTTCAATTTATAGTAAATCATACAGCTATGATACAATTCAAAGTTCTTAATCACAAACTCTTACATGTACATTGTAATTTTAAAAAAAGGTTTCCAGCAGTATTCAGAGTTTTCAGTAAAAACTAAAGTAGATGTCAAAACAGAACAAGTAAACATCTGTTTTCTGCATTCAAGTAACAAACAACAACCAAAATAATTTGCGAATAAATTCACAAGTAGTGGGTGATTAACTATACCTATAACCGGCAATTTTTGCCCCAGCTTCTACTGACAACCCTGGTAYTGGAGAATACATGTCACCAAGGTGATGATTATTATATTTCACTATTATTCAGTCATCAAAGGAACTTCATACTGTTATTGCACTCAATGTAATCTTAGATGACAATTTGATTGGTTTATCCATGTTCTCCATAAGACATAGTGTCCATACAATCATCCTGATCATGTATTTTCATTATCCTAGTTTTGGATGGATGTGTTTTTACCTCTTAGAAGATGTGTTCAAAACAAAAAGAAAACGAAAAGACAAAAAGTAATCCAAGCAAAATGAAGACCTACCCTAAGGGATAATGCTTTTTGAGGCAATCTTATTATATTTACGCTAGTCATAATTTCATTGATTTAACACATGGATCTACATCTTTTAGTCATTTGAGTCTCACCTCTGCTGGTTTGGTTACATGCCCATCTGGAGACAAGAATGGAACAGGAGAGGGAGGTCCTGATGATGCTGAAAGTGAATAAYAACAATAATAAAAATTATATATCATTAATAATGATGACAATCGATGCTCTATCATTGTTCAATAAATTAATATTTGCATGAGAYACATTCCACTAGAGACAAGACATGATAATATAAGAGAATAATACAAAAGCAAAAACTCCATCTTAAGATAATAATAAGATTAAGTGAGAATGGTTGAATTGAGAGTGAGAACATTCATTCTTGAGGGTCTAAAAGATGACTTGTCCACCAACTCACTCATTCACCGTTATTTTTTTATTAATAGTAAGCACAAATCAGAATGATATSTCCTAGCTCATAGGTTGAGAAAGCAATGGACAAACAATAGATTTAAGTCTTTTAAACAATAAATTAGAACCTAAGCTGCTTAACTTACACAGTAATCTAAGAGCATGTTTTGATCTATATTATTGCTTTTTGACCTAGTTATAACTCTATTGTATTATGTGAGWAAATAGCTTCACTTACTTTTATACTCCTCCGCAATAATTGCATTTAATCCCCTGAAACCAGTCAAACAAATATRTCTTAAATTTATTTTCAATGTTCTGTGGATGGAGGAGCAATGAAACAGGATGTAAATGGATGGTCATGGATGACAATTATTTTCCAAGGATTGATCCCTAAAAATTTCTAAAAATATATTTTTGGCTATCCTCTTTCCTTRTGTCTGAACTCAGCAATCAAAATTAAACTTTTTGAGGCTTCAAATTCATAGAGCAACTAAATTTCCCTTTGGAGGCCTTAATACTCAAACTTTATTATCAAGAAATTATTAAATAACTTATTAAATAGCCTTAAAAACCTTTCCTATTACACAAAAATCATTGATTAACTTTTTATATTGTCCTCAATTGAGGTGAGGACGAACAAAAAAAATAATGAAGTTGGCAGAGACTGAATGCCAAGTTTTATTGAAAATAATGAAAAATGATACAAAACATAAAAAAATCCATAACAATAAGATAAGTTTTATACATGGTTGTCTACTCACCCCTTGTTATCTAACTGCTTTAGTTTTTTACTTGGTCTTTCATCGTTGTCCCCTTCATCTAATAAAACAGTAGTATTAATAAATAACCTCTGCATTTACTACAATGCCACAGTGACTTTAGTTTGTGAATTATTTGTCATCAACTGTCTGGTGCTATAAATAGTTTTGTAGACATCTATTTTGGTGATTGACTGCCAACATTCTGATGATATCTTTGTTGTTATATTCAGTCTTAAGTGCTATGGTTTATGTGGGTTTGCTAGAGTGAAAAACCCAAGAATAAAGTGATACACCAGTACTACATTTCTTACCCACAGAACACCATTATATAGAAAAGCTATTAGAGCTGATATGGAAAGATGGTCCTTTAGAAGTGAGATTCTAAGTGTATTATAAGGTAATATTATCATTATATTTTTATTGTATAGTCTAGGGATACTGTGTAGTAAAGATCAGAATAGGAGAACTTTCAGTATAATTTTTCTGCRTTTATCTATGTTGACAAAAAGACAGCACTTATCATAAAAAACAATATGAGAATCTTGTAAAACAACTCAGAATATCAAGCAATCTAAAAATAAAAACTAAATAAAATAATGTTATATGAATTCCAATCTCAAGGGATATCACATTTTATTTAGCAACATTTTAAAATGTATTTTAGAATTCCGTTTATCAGAGCATTTCAAATCAAGTTGAATGAAAAATGTGTCCAAGTTAAATTTTTTAACAAGTTTTACTTCCTTGCCAAAACAATTTGTCACAAAATTTCTGCCAATTTTGAAGTACTGTAACTGAATTTCAAAAACATTGTATTTCAATATCATACAACTAATACTACAAGTAGCTATGGGTATTATTTTTTAGGTTTAAGTGAAATTGGTGCAAATATTTTTCATGTGAAATTTGAGCATTATCCTTTTCATATTTTTAGTAGTTTTCATAATTTCTTAACTTTCTTTCTGTTTCTTACTAGAAAATAATTATTGCCGGACAAGGTGAGCTTAATTACTATGGATTCATATAATAGATTTTCATAAAAGTCTTTTTATYAAAAAAACTACATTCAATTTTGTCAAGTGAAAACTATATGTAAACATTTGGTGTGTGAATACAGCATTATTTAGCATACTAGAGGCAATAAAAAATGACAAATATTGTTTACATAAATACGATTATCCAATTTTGGTCAACGAAATTTTAATAAACCAAAATTTWCAAAATAAAATGCAAGAATCAACAAAAAAAAACGAATCCATACCGTTAAAATATTATCTAGATGATAATTTATGCACGTACGTAAGTTTGGATATATGCAAATAAGTTTATTTTTACATCCGGAAAACAAAAAAGCACGAATGATCGAATGGTCAACAAAACTACTTTAACGGTCCTAGTATACAGTAAATAAACATAAAAAGATATGTAAAAGTCATTGTCCATGAATAATAAATAGCTCGCCAGATCAGCCTCGTGTGATTCTACATCACAATGCAAAAAAATAATAATTTATAAAGAAGCCATTTCGGCCTCGATTTCACCTATTGCAGTGCCGTTTTTAACATCTACAGGGTATCRCGATCTCTTGTGGAAATTTTACTCTGATCAGATCGACAGAGTCAATACAGTTCGAAGGAACTGCAAGATTACACAAGTTTAGAGAACGTGTTCGTTGCTACAAATAGTTTGTATTACGTTACTAGTTTCCACGCTTCTCTTGGCCACCATCGGCGCCATCACACACAAACCAACGTCTTTATGCAAAGACGACAACAAAAAGTAACCAGAATGAAAAGCTATACTAACTTTTACCGACTGAAATCATTATTATTTAAGTTCAGACAGTCTAAAGTGGGTATTAGATCGATTAAATGTGGTCGAGTTGTGCATAAATTATACTAACAACATTTACAATCGAAAGTGGAGGCGAGGTCTTACCCAATAATGAAACATCAGCGCCTCTTTTTTCCGTCTTTGAGTTCAATCCCATCGCTGAAATCCTGACAGATCGATAGCCAAGGCCATAAAMATTTACCAACCTTGACAAAACCGTGAATTGTCGTTTGGTTTATAGCGTAAATTCGGTGAAAATGCAGCCATACCAAACACTTCCCGCCAAACAGACGACCCTCGCTAAAACCACTCGGGCATAACACGTGGTGACGTCATGGGTTCATGTGACAAATACCACAGGAAACCCATCAGAAAGCTGTCAGAAACACAGGAATCCCCTTCAAAAGAACGATTTATCATGAATGACATTTGGATCTCAAGAAATATCTCTACGCGTAACTGCTTTGTATTAATGCTTTCAAGTTTAGTTATTATCATTATAAAATCCCTGTCCCTACAAGAAATCTTTCAAAATTTACTCTACATTAATTCGTAGCTGTTTTGTGTCGCCAAAAATATATATTTTAAAAACATAGATTATCCTTTTTTACTACACAGTATAAAGCGTTTAAAAAACGTTTGCAAACAGTTCATGTTTCGAGAAAAGTGGCTACCAAGGAGGTCAGGGGTGAAAAGCTGAGCATTTGAGGATTTCTAATGTGTTCTAAATCCTTATATCAACAGGCTGTTTTTACACTATATGCGTCGGAGTAATTAAAATCTGTAAAATAAAATAAAAATGATCCAGGTTAAACATTTGTCTAGTAAAGCTAAATCAATTGGCTTAATTTGGCATAAACTGTGTGAGTGTGCACATAGGGTACTGGTAGGCCTTTTGGAAAGTTATCATCATTGTGGAGCGGGGGACAGGGAAACCATCACACTAAACAGCTAAGGCTACGAGGAGACTAAACACGTGCGTTTTGAGTGKACGGCAGTAAATCGGTTATTTAGTGAGCCTAGACTTTCGTAAAATGTCTTCTAAACTGTCGGCTCTCCAAGCTTTTTTTTTATTAGCTTTCATTTATTTAATATTTTTAATTTTAACTTTATTGTGAGTCCAAAATCCGACGTTTGAGCCCTTGTCCTATTTTCCTCCCCACTCCCCGCTCGGCCGGCCCTCCCCAATCCCCTTAGGGCCGCTACGCAGGCTAGTCGCAACTCATTCCATGGACTGAGCATGCTCATATGATCAMTAACTGAAAAACCACAAGGAACGACATTGAAAAGAATGATAAAGGTGCTCCATTGGTGGATGCATATAACCCAATCACTGATCAAACTACGGTGCGGCTCAGTACGCGATTAATGTTTTTGCAAGGGAGTCCTCCCTGTGCAAAGTACCGACAACTTTCGATAAAAGAGCACATCTTTGAACAATTATGTTTTTAGCAATCAAGTGGGCGATACTGAAGTATGTGTCATCCTTCAAGTTCTACTGTATCCGTTAAGATAACATTGTTTTATTTGATGTCATTACAACTGCTACTGCMGTGCTGTGYTGTGATAACGAGTATAAATRCACGTCATGAACGCGCGGTGAAAATCATTTCTCTGATGCATGGAACACAAAGCAACAAAGAATGCSTATAAAGCTTTAGAAGATTGKCTTTAATAAGTTCATCAAATAAAGACATCAGAAATCTCTCAATACCAGATGTTCCTTTGTTCACTTGGCCCTCATATTTGATTCGGTGACCAACAGCAAGGTTTCATAGACRTACACAAGCACACGGTTCAATATACAGGCAGAACTAAGCCCTTGAAAGCTCTTGACCTCACGATGTGTAGCCAATTTACATCTGATTCGCAGATGCATAAATAATAATTTCATACTTTATTAAGATCGAATTAAGACAGCATTCATCGTCTGGAATTCTTGATTAAAAGACAACCCTATTTTTATGTCATCGCAAACTTGACAGACAAAAAAAATGTTTTTCTCGAGCAGAAAGTCTTGCGCTTTTAATAGATGACTATCTGAATGTCTTGCATCACTCAGAGAATCTCAATCAGAAAAATGCTTCCAAAAGCTAGATAATATGATGGGATCATGTACCACGGCTCTCAGTGCGCAAATTGAGAATCTCCAGCTGCTAACCGCGTTACATTTTATCAACATGGTAAACTMGACCTTCGTTTCTGTTGGTTTCTTGTAGGCGTGTAAAAAAGTGTCACTCTTGTTAAAAGTTTACGTACGCCATCGTCCTCTGCCACTTCAACAGGCATTTCRCCTTCACGGCTTAGAACGCGAACATTCGCATCGCATTTTARCAAAAACCTTACAATCTCCATGTAACCTTCACTTGCRGCATAATGTAAAGCAGTCCATCCTCGCCTGTCTCTCTTGTTAACGTTAACTCCGAGCAACACCAGCGCCTTCACACTCTTTAAATTTCCATCTAGAACACACTGAGTTAGTGCTGTCATACCAGACGCTGTAATGGCATCAATGTCTACTGGTCGACCTTGTTGCTTCATCAACTCCAAAAATCTGTGTGCGTCAGTGAGAATGTCCTGTTCTGAATCTCCATGTTGGTTACAAACAGTCTGTAACAGCAAGTCAAAAGGTTGCGGAGGACATGAACGAACTCGACGGAGCTGTTCATGATRTCGCTTACTTTTTCTTATCATTGTACACATTCTGTAGGTGAAATTATCGTTCCTTTAGACAGGTAGCAAATAGAATTCAAATCTTTTTGCCTAAAAAAGATGTTTCAGTGTGATCAAAAAACTGCTTCTTGCGCAGTACTCCAGCCAATTGAAGACACGTCGGACGTGTTGTCTTGTTATTCTTGTAGACAATGATGCATGTTAATCTTATTCAAGTGCGGATTGCGTGCTGCGACGTATGTGTTGTGATAGGGTATCAGTTTCTGGAATGACTCGATGTTGATTATCGCGTTTTGATAACAGGTGGYTTGTTTCGTGCTGTTTATCAAACCTTCAATGAAATCACTAACCTCACTAATACTTCGCCATAATCAACGCCGCATGACTGGGTCGCCTGAAGGCTGTTTTCATTATATTCGTGGCAGACTGGTTCCTCCCCCTCTTTTACACTGATAATCATATATCGCGAGAGGCCATGAGAATTTGAACTGCATCAATTCCCAGTAACGCAGTTTTAGAATGAATGCAAAAGAACTACGCACGAGCCATAGTCGAGATGAGAAGTCATTGCTAGTTTCGTAAAAGAAAATTATTTGTGTTCAAGAAGCTTAAGGGTATAGTTACTGATGATATAACATGTATGTGATGGCACGCGGAACAACAGTCCTTCTCAGGCAACGTGACCGAAGGTCATGCACATTTGGGTTCCGTGTATTATTTTGCAATCAATGTAGAGATATAGCCGTGTGATGCTAATCCTCCGTGCTCACCAACATGGAATCTCCACTAGCTCAGTATCTGTCTCGAGGCGAAACTCAGGGATATGGATGGGTCAAGAGAATCATAGAGAGCCATATATCTTAATTTTTAATTCAATTTCCTCTCTCTTTTTCCTTTTTTTTCATTATTTCTTCTTGTTTCTTTTCGATATTTTCAGTGTAGTAGTGCATTTTAACGTGTTATCAAGCAATTCTTACAACACAACGTTTCATCATCAGAGGTTATCTTTAAATTWTGCTTCGCTTCTACAATTTTAAATAAACATGGTATAGGCAAAGTGCCATATATATAAAAACCTTGTCGTAAGTGCGCACTTGAAAATTGATATTCTCTCCACATATTGATACACAAAGAAGTAATAATTTTGTTTGTTGTTGTTCTTGTTGTTGTTATATCTTGGTTCTTCATTATTGTGGCTGACTGCAAACAACGTTCAAACAACCATTCACCTGAATCACAATCAATCCATCGATCAATCGATCCATTAATCCATTAATCTATCAATCAATCCCCTCCATCAAACCATCCCTTCCATCCCTCCATCCATCCAACAATCCATCCATCCATCTATCAATCAATCTATTCATCAAGCGCTCCTTCCGTCAATCAAGCGCTCCATCCGTCAATCAATCGATGTACTGGACACTAATAGTGAAGTGGGTGCACATACACAGCAGATGGATACGTACTAGATAACGTGCGCTCTGATTGGCTCATTTCTATGAACTATCAACGGAGCTATATTTGATTATCGAAGAAACTATTTCATCTCGTTACGCCTGGGTTCTCGGAGAATGTAGCCTGTGTACATCCGTTTCTCACCCCTCCAAAAAAATCGGGGAGAGAACTCTCTCTCCCCGATTTTTTTTGGAGGGGTGAGAAACGGATGTACACAGGCTACGGAGAATGGTCTTCCTGCAGTAAACTTCAAACGAGGAAGCCTGTATCAATGAGTCATCATACGCATGTCAACTGAACAAGTCACACAGCAGGCTCACATGATTCCTGTGTAAAGTCTGACCTGGGAAATGTAAAACRCAAAAATTATCAACAAAAAAGTTCGTTTTTTGTTATTTTATTATGGCCAAGTGTTCTAGATACATGGCYCGAGTTCTCAGAGTAGTTGGCTTCGTGCTGTTTGTCCAAGTCGCCTTGTCTTGTGCCTCTATACCTGACGAACATGATGGACTTCTTGGGAGATTTCTTTTGGCTTCACAAGAAAAAGTTGATGAGATTGGTAAAGCTTCACTAGATCCGTCCGTTTCTAGTGTTTTCCCTGTAGCTGATAAAAAGGTATTTATAACTGGCAAATGGATGTGTACTTAAACTCAATATTAAGGGCCATTTGGCGGATTTTATTGGTAGTTGATCAAAAACTTTCGTTGTAGCAAGCTTAAGTTATGTCACAAATATGTCTAATTTTTGATTTTCATGCACTACTACTGGAGATGTGGGTTGCTTAATACACTACCACATCTCCAGGACATTGTTGGGCTTCAATTTTGAGAAAACTCTCTAAAACTCTGGAGCCATGAATTTTTCTTAAATTTTCCCCTAGGGGTTTATAATTAAGAAGGCAAAGACACAAGTGTTATGTTTTTTCTTCATTGAACTTGGATAATCAAAGTTGAACTTCAAKCAATGTGAACAATTTCCACCACTTCTTAACTTTAGTTCCCACTTTTGTAAGTGGCACTCATCCTTGCATTTATCATTGTTGCATCAAAGCATCATCCCATCATCATGACATAACAAATACAAAAAGGCGCAAAATATTTTATAAAAGAAACATTATAAATGGTAACTAATTGCTTGTCTATGTCCTTTGAGACTGGAAAGCCCCAAAAGGCCAGTAAGTCTCTACTTAGACAAAGAATCTTCTGTTACACTRGTTGTCCTTCTTTTCTATAGCAGTGTTGACAGTAGGTCTACAGGGATRGTTCATTTTATCACTAATTTGTTTATTTATGAATTATAGGATGAACGTCCGTCGATAAAGGGTCAAAATGATGCATCTGGCAAAGYAAACACAGGCTTCTTATCTGCTTCCCTTGATTTTGTACATGGTTTTATTGCAGCAATTTCTGTGATCATAGTGTCTGAACTTGGAGACAAAACATTCTTTATAGCTGCAATAATGTCCATGAGGCATTCCAGATTAGTTGTGTTCAGTGGTGCAATGTTGGCACTTGGTCTAATGACAATCTTATCTGCCGTTCTGGGTTACGCTACTACTGTGATTCCAAGAAAATATACACTATACATATCCAGTGCTCTTTTTCTGTTTTTYGGTCTAAAAATGCTAAAGGAAGGCTTTGAAATGGATCCTAATGAAGGGCAAGAAGAGCTTGAAGAGGTTCAAGCTGAATTGAAGAAAAAAGATGAAGAGGTGGGAACCATGATTTKTCAATAGGAAACATTTTGTTTCAATGTCTTCTTTCAGACATKAAAGCTGTCAAAAGTCCTACTTAATCAACAATTTTTATTGTTGCATTATTTTACAGCTATCAGAAGAAGAAAAGATAACCCAAGATCCAGAGACTGGGATAATWAGAGGAGGAAAAAAGCACAGATTTATATCACCAATATTCTTACAAGCATTAACTTTGACATTTTTAGCTGAGTGGGGTGACCGGTCACAACTGGCAACAATATTATTAGGCTCTAGAGAGGTTRGTATWCACCATATTGAAAAGACAACAGATAAAAAAGAAATTGTTTTGCTGCTATCACTCGATCCCCAATATCTGACCCACTATTGTTACCCTAAATCCCATGACATTTGACAAGGAGGTAAACTTATYGGCGTAGAATCACTTGTAATAATTRTGRATATTTTATRACAGAATGTTATAGGAGTCATCATAGGGGGCACCATTGGACATGGGCTGTGTACTGGMCTTGCAGTTATAGGAGGTAGAATTATTGCACAAAAAATATCTGTAAAAACAGGTAAGSAATCAATAAACCAAACAAAATAATAATGATCTAATGTTATATTAGACTGTTCATAGTTTATACACTCCACTACAGACATTCACACGTTACAGATAGACAGACACTACTTCCTTATAAGTAGTTCTTCTCAAGCTTGTATGCTAAGTCTGACCATACACATAGTTAGTAGAGGGAGACTAGTCTGGTCTGACATAGCCTGCTTAATCACCCATCTTGGGATACCTGTCTCTATGGCCCCAGTTAGGGCTAACTGAAGGCTATATTAACATTAAATGTATTGTTGGTTGAGGTTTGGTATGATTCAAGGTTGCTGTTATCACTCTGTAACAATAGAGTACAATAGGTTTCGTACAATACCAAAATTAAGATTGTTGTCCAATGCTTGTTGTCAGCATGAAGAAGTGTTGGACACTGACTTTAAAAGCACTGAGAATTCTGACAAAATACGTAGACTTATACCTATTTCAAGAAAGGTTGTCAGATAAAATCAAAAATGTCAATGGTTGAATGGCATCGGATTGCACAACTGAAAGTAACCATAGGTTTTGCTAATTGAATAGAAATAACAACTGATTTATACTGTAAGATAGTCTGTGGTAAACATTGGCTCCATTTAGAATCTATTTACTAGGCAAGGTGAATCCAACAATTCAAATGTTATTTGTCAAAACAGTGTAACAGTAGTACCTTGTTGGTTGTGCAATCTCCCTTCGACAATTGACATTCTCCCTGACAATGTTTTTTGAAATAGGTTTATGAAAGGATTGGAAATACAATAATAACAATAAGTGAAAGTAGATGCCGACTAGTATAAATTATTAACATACAGTATTAATGCATTATTAACACATTTCTATTGTTCTTTTTCAGTCACAATACTAGGAGGAATTGTATTTTTAGTATTTGCTGTATCTGCATTCTTAATTGATACCTGAATTATGAGATTTTGATAATTATACAATAATGTAATAATATATAAATAGACGTGTATTATTATATAATATTTGCAGCTATTTGCAATGATTCTCCTCCCATGCGCAATGTTTGAATTTTCATGTATTTCATCAAAGTGGCCTTAGAAATTATGGGATACCATTACTGTTATTGATAACTCAATTTGATAGAGTGCACGCCAAAAAGCATGAAACAATTCTTAACTATCAACATCTAATAAGATTTAGTTATCAACTAACTAAGAATTCACTGGRGCATGAACACAATGCCAGAAAGGAAACTTGTCTTTGTTTATGCCTCACTAAATTCTTAGTTAGTTGATAACTAAATCTTATTAGATGCTAATTACTTAAGAATTGTTTCATGCTTATGTGCCGTTCACTYTATGTTTCAAATAAGGCAGAGGGGATACAAATTATTGCAAATTACTGTACTGCAAATGGATAGAGTGGGATGATTACATCTGTATATGCATTGTAGCATGTGGGGCATTGATGATAAACAGTTATCKCACATCAATATGTTGTACATTGTACTTGATTATAAAAATCATGTTTTAGAAATGTTCATTATTAAAGTCAAAGCAGAGAAAAGCAAGAATAGAAGCATCAATTGAATTAAGCAATTTATTATATTTTTATTCTGAAATGTTTCATCAATGTTAAAAAAATAGAAATAATGTTGTAATGCCATAAAATGCAAATGAGCTGATTTAAATTAGTGGACTAATAATATTGGTAAAGAGGAGTTCTTTTGCCCTGGCAATTGTTTTTGTATATAAAATTGGTTACTACACATATTGTATAAATGTACTTCTATCTGTCATTAAAGTAAAAGTGATGTCAAAAAGGGTCAGTTGCTAGTTGAAGATACTGTTATTGTTGGTAGAATGTGTTTATCACTGTATGAAATACTTTACTACTGGCTGAGGTCTCAGAATCCTCGAGACAGGTCGGACAAGTCTTCTGGAAATAAAATTTTCAAATCCCCCCTCCCATCCCCCTATAAAAACAACCTTCACAAAATATCCTCAAATTCTCAAAAAGCAAAAATAACACAGGAACGTGGAGTAGAATTATACTAAGCATGAACACCCTGCTCACTAATGAAATGAAAGACGAAGAGTTTTACACTAATTTCCCTACTTTCCAGTAATCTACCATATTTCATGGATATAGTGAATACACCCTATTGTTCAGTCTGCTATTAGCAGCAGCACAAAGTGAAAAGTTAGACTGGGAGCATTGTGCTTCGGAGAAGTCAATGTACCCAGTCTGATAAAGATGCTGAATGATGGCATACTTCAGCAACCACATCGTCCTTTTAAAAATTTGTTCCAGTACTTAATGCAAAGTTTTATTAAGCTCCAAAGGAAAAGAKTGAATTTACACCAGGCATTCTGGTTGTTGAAATGGTATTGTTGTGCAAGTAGCCTTTTAACCGGGTTTGGTTTGTGCTGTCGTCAAAACCCTCCCTACAKACTTAGTAATACAGTCCTAAMTTTGGTTTATAAATARAATGCAAGCACAAAACGTTTGGTAGCCAACAGGAAACAATGTAGGAAATGATTCTGCCCACATACACAAGGACAAGGACTTTTCCAAGTAGAGTAGGGGTGGGAGCAGACATACACAGGCTAGCTGTTTCACTAAGGGCATTTGTAGCTCATTTGYCTATTGGTCAAAACAGCTGATTGCTGAAAACAAAACAAGGTGGCAGAAAATTCAAKATGGTRGGTGTATATCAAAGAAACACACCAAAAAGAGAGAAAAACCTCATTTTGCTGTGATTCCTTGGTTTACACATGTGCCTCATTGTATTAAAAATAAATAAATGAGAACAAGGAGTTTGATGGAAATATTTTATTGACAGATCATAGGGTTTAATCTTCACTCTCGACCTTCTGTGTTTGAAGACCTGTAAAGATAACGTTTTTTTATCAGAACAATTGGATACAAATAGACAAATTGCACAAAACAAGAAGGGATATGTGATAACTACATTCTCTAGGATTTCATTAACAGGAAAAAATATTGTCCTAAACAATAAACTGAAGTATGAAAATATTCTATAGACTAAAATGAAATGATTAACACACTCGAGACTAACATAGATCTAGGGATTATCTATTACAGTAAGTTGGATATGAGGACCTACCTTTGAAATTTGTTACTGGTACAACTGTTACTAGGGTGTATAGCTTATTAACAGAGTCCTCATCTTCATTYCTCTTGCGAGACAAGCGTACACGGAATCGGTATGGTACATTCCTACAATTCAAACATTTATCAGTGTTATTATTTTCATTTTATTTTTTTATTTATATGTGTATTTTATTTTGATTCAGTAAGTTCCCCCCGACACTTTCAAAATACTGGCTAACACAGTTGTTATCCAAAYTGATAAAACAAATCTTTTCCAAAACAAAAGTTGACATCTGATGGACTACCATATCATTWTCAGGTATGCTGGTCAATTATGGATTTGTGGATGAGTTCAGATTTCAAATACAACATTACATTATAAAAACTACCAATGACATTTAAAACACCATAAAAATTTATTAAAATAAAAACTCTGCTTCAAAGTTTTGAGCATCAAGGTATTTCACTCTGATTTACTATCAATCGATGTATTAAGAACTGGACTAAATTGATAATATAAGTTATAASATACACGAGTT